ATATTTTAAATTTGGACTTTATATTATTAACTATTATCATATTTTGGAGAATTTTTAGAGTTTTCGGCATTACATAAATTAGCTTTATCAGTTATTTGCCGAAACAGGACTTTCTGACCTAAACGCCGGCAATCTAAACCAGCTGAGTTTTAATCAACTTAACTAAGCTCTAATAAGCTATATTTCTAATTTTGGAAACCCTATGCAGATACTAACCTGGATTTCAGAACTGACGGATGTCACAGTCTTCCCATGTTAGAAAAATTTCGTCCCGAAATTTTCTGGTCAGCGGCTAGCCTTGGACTCCTTTATGAACAAATGAGGGTACTTATTTTTCATATAGTCTTCCCTTTCCCATGTATACTCTGGTCCGTGCCTTGAAGTCCAATGAACTTTTACAATCGGGATTTTGCTACGCCATAACTGCTTGACTTCTCTATCCATGATTTCTACTGGTTCTTCTATAAAGCGTAGGTGACTGTTAACTTGTACGTCTTTTAATGGTATTACCAGAGTTTCATCGGTTAAGCACTTCTTAAGGTTTGATACATGAAATGTATAATGTATGACACTTAGCTCTTGTGGCAAATTCAACTTGTATGCCACCGGTCCCTATCCTCTCAGCTATCTCAAATGGGCCAATATATCGGGGGCTAAATTTGCCTCTTTTTCCGAAACGTATCAGTCCTTTCCAAGGTGAGACCTTTAATAGTACCTTATCACCTTTCTGAAATTCTAATGGTTTCCTCCGATTGTCCGCATAAATTTCTGAAGATCTCTTGCGGCCTTAAGTCTATCCTTAATAGTTATAATTTTGTCTGTAGTCTCCTGGGTAACATCAGGTTTGGTTAATTGCCGATCGTCGATTTCTAGCCAACTGAGCGGAGATCTACACTTGCATCCATATAAGGCTTCGTAAGGCGCACACTGTATACTAGTGTGATAGCTGTTATTGTATGCAAATTCAACTAACGGAGGATGCATATCCCAACTTCCACCAATATCTACGGCGCAAGCACGTAGCATATCTTCTAAAGTCTGAATTGTTCTCTCCGTTTGTCCATTTGTTTGGGAGTGGTATGAAGTGCTTAAGTCCAAGCGTGTTCCCAACCCTCCTTGGAGTGATTGCCAAAACCGTGATGTAAATCGGCTATCCCTATCCGAGATAATGGAGATAGGTACTCCACGCCGAGTGACGATCTCATTTATGTAGATTTGTGCAAGCTTCTCCATCTTGTAATCTTCTCGGATTGGTAGAAAATGAGCAGATTTCGTAAGTCGATCTACTATCACCCCAATTATATCATGCCCTTTCCCAGTCCTGGGCAAATTTGTTATGAAATCCATTGATACTTGTTCCCACTTCCATTGGGGAATCTCTGGTTGCTGGAGTAGACCAGACGGTTTTTGGTGTTCTGCCTTGACCATTGCACAGGTTAAGCACTTACGCACATATAAGGCAATGTCTCTCTTCGTGCCAGGCCACCAATAGTGATCCCTAAGATCCTTATACATCTTATCTGCTCTCGGGTGGATTGAGTATCTTGATCTATGGGCTTCATCCAAAATTATTGATCTAAGATTACCAACCTTAGGTATCCAAACCTTATCTCCCAAATAATGTACTCTATCTTGTGGGATTCAGATAATCTTTTTCGAACAACCTATCTCAACTCAATATTTGGATAGCCAATCCATACCTACAATTACGTCAAAGCTTCCTAATTTGATTGGGATAAGGTCTATACTAAAATCCTTTTTGGCTAAGCTTAAAGTGCAGTCCTTAATTACGTCCCTAGCCCTAACTTCCTTACCATTGGCAAACTCAATTGCATAAACTTCCTTCAACTTTTGTGACTTTAAATTAATTTTTGGCTTAAAATCTAATGATACAAAACTTTTATCTGCTCCCAAATCAAATAATACTGATGTGAAATGATTATTCAAGAGAAACGTATTTGTGACCACGTCGGGATCATGCCTAGCCTCTTTCGCTCCAATTTCGAATGCTCGGCCCCGCGCTTGACCTCCCGGGTTCCCTGGATTAACGGGTCTTGCTTGGTCAAAATTCGGTCTTTGCTTCCATCTTGGGCATTCATTTCGCATATGGTCCACACTTCCACACTAAAAACACGATCTCCTTCGACAATCTTTTGTAAGATGGCCTATCCTTCCACACTTTTGACAGGCAATGCATTTTCCCATGTGCGGATATCTACATTTATCACACTTAATATTATTTATTTGACCGACCACTTGAGTCTGAACTCCGAAGTTTCCCTTTACTCTTCGATTCCTTACAAATCTTCCTCCAGATCGTTGGTTACTACTCTCCTCTATCTTCCTCTTACCTTTGGTTTTGTCTTTTGCGAACTCTCCAGACCGAACAACATTATTGGTCAGCCTGGTTGCTATGCTTATTGCTTCTTGGAGAGTCTTTAGGTTTGCCGATGTGATGTCTCCACGAATCTCTTGAGATAAACCCTAAATGTATCTATCGACTCGATTTTCTTGGGTGTCACTAGATGTGGTACTAGTTTTGCTAATTCATGGAATCGAGAAGTATAACCATTTATATTTGTTCCCTTCATTTCGTGATTCCACAGCTCAAATTCCAGCTTCTGGAGTTCACTCCTTGGGCAATACTCATCCTTGAGTAGCTTCTTGAATTCTTCCCATGTAAGCTGATTAGTTGCCTCTCGTCCTCTAGTTTGTACCAATGTATTCCACCAGGTAAGTGCCCTTCCTTGTATCAAACATGCAGCATATTCTACTTTGTTTCCTTCAGTACATTTACTGATGTGAAGAACAGATTCCATACTCTCGAGCCATGATAATAATCCTACTGCTCGTTTGGTTCCATAGAATTCTTTCGGGTTGCAAGATCTAAAAGATTTATAAGTGCATTCCTTAGCCGCCCTCGGCTCTGGATTGTTTGGTTGGTAAGCATTCAGACCAACAACCACTTGACTGACTATGTTAGGGAGTGCCGCTAAGAGTTGCTCAGACACGAGTCGTGCGACTTCCGGGTTCTCTCTTCTTGGAGGCATTTTCTAGAGCCTAATTCGAATGGGAATTTGGCCATGATAGTGTTATTATTATACAAGCTCTATTCTACTAGGTTATAAGTGACATAAGACATATAAATCTACCACAATCATTTAAACACATAAATATGGTAATGTACGACAATTCCATAAGTATGCATAAGAAAACATCTAATTCATAACATCACAAATTAAAGTATCATAAACGCATCATCCATCAAAATAATTTCTCCAAAAAGACATCAAGTTGCTTAGAGTTTCAAACTACGGGCTACATGCCACTAAAATAGATCTCTAACTTCAATCATCAAAACCAACAAAAGTGCTCTTATCACCACCTCCTCGGCTTCATATCTTCACTACTTTCTCGACCGCATACACACCTAGAACAGCATTCCAATTAATACCATCACAATCGCTCCCAACATCAAACCTATGCACAACCTTTGAATCATCCTCCTGGTACCAATGGTGGCTTCCTAAACTCTCCTCATGTGACGGTTGTGTCCATCCAGAATCTCCGTCAAACTACCTACGACATAGTGAAGATGATCCATCCTAGAACGGAGGGTGTGTAACTCATGCTCTAGGCCTTGGATCCATCGGATCTCGGCCGAAGACATATCCTGAGTATGTCTGGACGGAATCCCCGTGACTACGGAGGGTGTCCTGCTTGGTGCTGGCTGTGTGGAAGACTCACCCTTAGCTCTCGTAGATCCTGCAAATGACAATCTGACAGGTGGGGGATCCTCAACTCTGGCCGGGTAGCAGGAGGAATAATAGCAGGTGGTGAAGCAGATGCAGGAAGTCAGGTGGGATTCCCGCTGTCTGCTTCATCCCTAGCCTCATAAGGGTCTACCTCCTCTACAGTGGTTGGGTCTCTTCTTGGCCTACAAGTGACATAGCCGGACTTATCCGCCGAATATTCAGTGGGGTCGACCAAGACGACATAGCGAATTGTGATAGTAACTAGTTTGATTACTAAACGTGCAAAAAAAATGATGTGAATGGTTTAATGCATCGCACGCAAAAAATTATGCAGAAAAGTTCTTAGCTCAAGCATGTTTTCAATCTAACTGATTCAAGTCTTCCATTATACATACTTAAATTAAACATAGGTGATCAGGCTTTGTTTAATTGAAGTATAATAACGCGACACTTATCTTTCAATTACACTAGTGACATGCTTTGTATTTTGAAAAAAAAAATCATTTAAAAAAAATCATTTTAAAAAAATCATTTTGAAAGTATTTGGTTATAGTTTGAGGTTTGGAAAACCGGTATTCTCTATAACCTTTGGCTCTGATACCAAATTTGTCACACCCCGTTAAAGCGGAAACACGAGATATGACAACTCACGGTTTCATTGCACAAGTAATAGATAACACCATAATTGAAATATATAAATTACAAGTTTAAGATATACAGAAACATAATATTTTAGCTCTCATAAGGAGTCAGTGATGTACAAAATGCAAACACAATCTAGTTCGAAAGGTTCAAATGTTGATGTCGTTGCACACAGATGCTCAAAACGTCACTTACTA